AATAGAGAGTTTAAAATTTTGTGTATAGTTTTAAAACTTCCAACTGTATTCTATCAAATCTTCAATAAATTTAAAGTTCTAAAAATAATTAATCAATGCCCTTTTTGACCTAACTGTACAAAAACAAAATTTTCCTTGTTTTCTGCTAAACCCTGCAGAGCTCTCACCCTAAGTCCTGGTTGATGGACTCATCTGTGGAAAATAAATTTTATGGCACCCAGAAATTTATTTTTCCCTTTCTTATTTATCTCTATTTTCCTGTCTTATTCATCTCTATTTTGTCTTTGCCAAAAGTCAAACCCAAGCACTACATTAAATTAAATATTTATTTGTGTTTTCTCATCACCTTTGGTTTAAGGAGAAAAAGGAAAAGGGGATCCAAATCTCTGTTCAATATGTCTTGAATACGGCTTGAAACCAACCGGTGTGAATTTTACAAAGTCGGCTGTGTGTGCATCAGCGTGTGGCACACTAATCATCAGAGATCCCTGGAGACTCTCACCAGGAGCTCAGATCACTCAGCAGGTCTTGGCTACGTTAGGTGATTCAAGCCAAGCAAATAGACTTCTCCATCTGTTAGCATCAGCCGTCACGTTAGGAAACAGACTGTGTCCCTTCTTACATGGGACTGCATTGTGAAGAACTCATCTCTATCCACTTTCTCTGCCCGAATCAACACAGGCAGAGCTTTCCAAGCAGGAAGAACTGAAATTCAGTCTTGTGCACAATTCCAGATGCTTCAGTTCCAAATTCCTAAATCACCCCCTGAGATTGGCCACTACAACCCCATTCCCTCTATTTTTAGACTGTTCTGAAAATCAGAGGAGCCTTCTCCTCTGCCAACATGAAACCAGACTTTGCCTCTTGCTACTCATAAAGCACATGTTCATCTTTGCATGGACCTGCAAGCCTGCATTTACAGATTGCTACCATGGCTGAGGCAGGAGGGTCACATGTTGGGGACCAACATGGACAGCTAAATGAGCCCCTGTGTCAAGTTTATACTTAAGTCTGTGGATGTAGCTCCACAGCAGAGTCTCATTTGTTTTACCTTTGGTACTTATAAGCAGAATTTATTTGTATCACCATTTTACACTTAAATAAATGTAGAGTATATTTTTATGCATTAATTATTCTTATTACTCAAATTTTCCTTTTGACACTAAGTCCTAGAACAATCTCATCTCTAAACAAAAGGAGGAAATTTTATTTTTGCCCAAATTTCTTCTTGGTTGGACACACAAGCACTTTTACCTTCCCTAATTCTAGAAGCTTAGACCCTTACACACTCTTCACCCTCTAATATCTCTTTGAGGACACTAGCTTTGGTACTTATAAGCAGAATTTATTTGTATCACCATTTTACACTTAAATAAACGAGGTCCCGAGCTCCTCATAGGATGAAAACAGCCAACTTCATCAGGGAAGCCAGCATGACGAGCTCCTCCAAGACAACCAAAGGCTTCTTTCAGCTTCTACCAGCTCCTGACAGCCTTGCCTCTTATGCTGCAGGCAACAATCATCAGGTGGGCCTCCCACACCCAGCATCATGCTTGTTCAGTTCAGATGGGGATATAAGTTGACCACCAGTGGCCAGTCCACCACACAACCCTATCATCTTGTTTTGAAATTCTGTATAATTTTTATTACTTTTTTATTTTTTAAGAAAAGATATGGACATTATAATTTCTCCAATAGATATTAGCACAAACCTTCCTTTAGTTTAATGAACTAAGAGACATTAATAGTATAATTGACTCGCATTTTTTTTCCATCGTCTCTTCCATCCTTTCCCTTTTCTTGCATCCTGGTTCTTTTTTCCTATTGAAAAGTTCCCCAATTTCACAATATCTACTGCAAGTTTTAGACCTTATTTTCTCTTTCAATATTCTCTTTCAATTTCTCACACCAGGGGCACAATATGATGTTTACACATGTGAGTCTGGTATATTTCACTTGTTACTGTGGTCTCAAGTTGCATCTATTTACCTAAAATGTTTCAAGTTTATCATTTTTTATGGCTGAGTTGTAGTCCATTGAATAAGAATTCCACATATTTTTAATCCATTCCTCAGTTGGTTGGCATTTTGGTTATTAGCAAGATAAGCTATTACAAGTGATGCCGCTTTAAATGTGGGTGCTGATTATCTCTTTGGCATGATATTCTTAATTCCTTTGGGAAGATACCCAGAAGGGGAATAGCTGAGTCCAATGGGACCTCTAATCCTATCTTTTTAGGTGTCGCCATGCTGATTTCCACAATGGTTTGACCAGGATGCACTCCCACCAACAGTGGAGAGAGGTTCTTTCTTCCCCACAGCCCCACTAGATTTGTTACTGGTTGATTTCTTGGAGGCCTCCTTGAGTGATTCTGCCCTTCTTGAGTGCTCCCCTTCCTTCTTCTGATAACTAAAATATGGTCCACCCAGAGAAGGTCTTGGTCTTAGCCCCAAGAGAATCTCCACTTTTGTGAGAGGGCTTTGATTCTCCTGGAGCCCTAAAATCATTCCATTTACTTATTTTTATTGAGTCTTTGCCACACACTCCTTCGGGAGATTGCAGACCTGATCAACCTGCAGTAACTAAGGCATATTATTAATCATTCCTGATTTAACTGAAGATGGAAGAACCGCCTCAAATGTGGTGGCGCTGACCAGTAGGTCTGTAGCCTGGATGGTATAAAAAGGGAAAGTAGAATGAAGTTTCACTTTTGCTCCCTTGGAGGAGCTTTGCCTTCCCCTTTGGACATCCACCTCCAGGTTTCCAGTGCAGACCTCAGCATTCCTGTACAGAACCTCAGCTTCCCAATACAGACTCGCCGGGACTCTGCAGTGATCTCCAGGTCTTCCACATTTGACTGCATCCTCCTCTCTCCAGGGTGCAAATCAACTTTTACAGTCTCTACCCCTCTATATTGTGTTTTATGTTAAACGCGTTCTAGTACATGAGGCCATCTCCATTTCTCTCTGCTGTTTCTTAGCGATGCTCCATCTTGCCCAAGCAAAAGGCCTCTTTCCCCCCATTCCTTCTTTTCTCTCATTTGTGTTTTCTTTGCAATTCTCAAGTTACTTTCCTCATTACTAGGACCAAAAACCCAACACCCACAAGTTAAAGGAAGAAAAGTTTCTTTCAGCTCACAGTTTGTAGAAGTTTCAGTTCCTAGGTCACTGTCTCCATGGCAGGACAGCATGGCAGGTGGGCATGGCAGAGAGAAGCAGTCGATGGTGTGGCAGGCTGCAAACAGCACCAGCCTGCCTTTCCCTTTTATCCCATCCAGGCTTCACGTCTTTGGGTGGAGCCATCCATGCACGGGTTGGGTGTTCTGCCTTCAGTAAATCCATTCATCCACCTCCAGCATTGTGCTAATTCCGTCGAGTGGACTAACTTAGTACCACACACACTTAATCCCAGTGTCACGCACCCCAGATCCAGGCAGCTCTGAAAACCCACGTATAAGCACAGGAGGCTTTGGGGGGACATCTGGATACAAGCCGTAGCACTCAGTTCATCCTGAATTTTCGCTCTCCCGACCCAACTTTCTGAGAGTATTTTTGCTCTCTAGCTTTCTTGTGGTAGACAGAACACACACACTCACCCTTTCACGCTTGCTCTCATGTGCTCCATCATTCAACCATTCAACTGGGGAAACTTCACAGGTAAATAATTGAGGACCCCGTAGCCTAAGTAAGGAGGGATAAGGCAAAGGGCCACCAGCAGTGGAAGCAGACATCAGAGAGGTCCCTCCGAAGGGAGGACACTGCATCTGCTCTTGGGGGATAAGCTGTTAACCAGTAATGCATCTCATCAGCTGCTGTTTCCTGATCCTTCACCGGGTGCAGGCTGAGCCTGTCATGTGCACTGGTTTGTTTGCTCCTCCCACAACATGACCAGCAGAGATTTTTATTTCCATTTGCAAGTGAAGAAACTGAGGTCTCCAGAGTTAACTCACCGAATTTCCAGCAACTCTGGCAGTGGGGCCTGTCTGAGAACCCAGGTGTATTAGCCTACAGGGCCAAAGAGACAGGAAGTGCATCTCCAGGCTGAGGGAAGACCAGGAGGAAAGGCATGAAGGCAGGAGGGAGCTCCTTGCTCTGAGCTCAGCCCTGTGGCCTTCCTCAGTGGGAAGAGACCCGTGGATGGAGCAGAGGCCCCAGAAGAAAGGGGACAGCCAGGGAGTTGTGCACGTCATGACCTCGATTTCACGCTGTGGGGCTGTTTCATTAGTGAGCTGAGCCCGGACACATGCTACCTGCATCCTTGCATCTTTTGGTTGTGCCTTCAGAGTCCCTGGATGTGTGTGTTTCCTGTGACATTCTGAGCCCACAGGCCAGTGAACGGCCCTGGCTCAGAGCTGGCAAGAGTACTCTTCCTACCTTAATGTTTTCCAAATCATTGAGGATCGCAGCCTGTGTCACTGCAGATACCTCACTTCTGACTCATTGGCTTTTAAAATCAGGAGAGAAAAGTAAGCAGCATTTTGCAGTTTGCAGTAAGATGCTCTAAAAATACTCGGATACTATTCCAGTGCAAACTATCTCCAGTGACTGCACAGGGCGGTGGGGTGGATCTTTCAGGCAGACTTTGATGTCAGTTCCTTCTCCCTGTCCTGCAGGAATGGTCATGCAGGTACAGCATAGAGGCTGTCAGCCAGACTCCTAGTTTTCAACTCTGTGATAATGGGTACTGTTCCTCGTGTAGCATGTTCTAGGGCACTTGATGCAGAAGTCTCATTTAATGCACCCAGCAACTACGCAGTGTCCTCCATGGAGTTTCCATTTTTTAGATGGGAAAGTGGAGGCTTAAGAAGTTAGAGTGCTTACTCATGGTCACACAGCTGAATTAGCAGTAAAAAGGAGGGGTTGACGTTCTTCTTATTCAAGTTCTGAGCTGAACCACACAGATGTCCTATGATGGAAGCTCCCTGGAAACTTGATCTGGAGAAGTGGGTGAGTTGAGGGTTTTTTAAAAGGGTGTGATGCTTGCATACCTTGGTTCCAGACCTTGGTCTCCTGAGTCACTGGAGAACTTGGTAAACACTGCTGAACCTGTCACTCTAGCAGGACCCACAGGGTTTATGGCCATGGCTCCGGGAATCCGTTCTCTGTCTCTGGTGACAGGAGGGGAATCAACCAGAGAAGCATGGGGGAGCACAGGATCCATCACTGACTCCCCATAGCCTCACCTTCCTCCCTGGTCCCTGGCTCACCTGCTCTCCCCACAGGCCACATCTGCCAGTAGCACTATTCCTGCTGCCCCTTGGCCGGCAGCTCTCTCCCCACAGACAGCTCCACAGTTGACTCCAGCTCAAAAATCACCACCCCAGATGCCCCTGCTCCCATTTCTGTCCTGTGTTATGTGCCTCAGAGTCCTCATCTGTTCCCAAGTGAGTTGATTTTCCGGTCTTTCCCCTCCAGAAGCAGGGCCATGTCTGAATCCCTCACTGTCGTTTCCCAGCCCCAGCACTGTGCCTGAAATGTAGTAGGTATCTGAGAAGTCACTGCTGAGGGAAGGCACAGGGTGCATGTTGATTGGTTCAGAAGGTGTGGGGAGGCCAGGGTTTCATGTAGGATGTGTCTTTACTGAGAGGAAGGGGTCGCTCAGGGCAGACTCCAACCCCAGAGTAGGGCATCTCTTCCTGAGGGCACAGGCAGTGACAGCAGAGCCCAGGGTCCACTTGACTGCTCTGTTTCACCCCTCTGGGCAGCCGTGTGGGGAGAGAGTCCGGAGTACTGGAAAGGACACCATGACCTGGTGGGAGGAAGTTGGTCAGGCTTAGGGCCATGCTGTCAGAGTGAACCATTGAAACATACGTTATATATCCCTGGGTTTCCACGTCCACATCTGAAAAATCAGGATAACAATGGTCCACACATCATGGTGCTTTTGCCACGCAGAAGCGGACGTATCTCTAACGCACCTAGAGCAGACCTGGGCAGAAGTGAGCATTTTAGGAGACCTGATCAAACATTATATGAACTGAGGTTGCAGCCCCTTCCCACGCCACTTCTGCAGCAATGACACAGGTGTCTCGTTACCATCCCTGCACATATCTCACTGCAGACATCTGTGATGTGCAGGAAATGGCTCAGTGGAGGGGCTGCCACAGCAAGTTGAGAGGGACTGGCTTGGAGCATCCAGTGGGTCAGGATGTGAGGAAGTCAGCTGGAGTGGACAGGGACACCTCTTCCCTCTGGGTTGGCATCCTGGTTCTGCCTGAGATGTCACCCATTTCTCAGAGCCTCAGTTTCCCATCCTTGTCTGGTGTTTGATGGGTAGAATTTACTGTCTTCTTGACTTCTAGACCACAGTACCATGTGAACGCTTCAGAATTTGTATCTACTATCTCAGTTTTCAGCTCAGCACGGCTTCCTACTTGACAGGATTAAAATTAAGTCATTTGGTAAGTTGTAACTGGCAGCAGTTGAATGCCACCTCCTGAAAGAACAGAAGTCAGGACCTGAAGTCACAGAAATTCCTTGCCAGCCCTGGGGATTCAGAAGCATTTTGAGGCCAGGAAGAGAGTGCAGGTGCGGCTGGGAGAGGAGCGGCCCAGCCTGGAGCCTGAATCCCAGTCCTGGCTGGTTTCTGGACAGGGGGACCGCAGTGAATCAATTTCTCCTCAAATACCCCATTTCCCATGTGTACAATTGTGGACAACCATATCTTCTACTGGGGGCTGGTGCGGACATCAGCACAGAGGCCTAGCGTGATTCTAGTACCCACTAATTGCTCAACAAATTTTACTTTCTTTGCATCCCATTTTCCCACAACTTCTGTTATGAGCTCCTCAAAGTCTTGTGTGTGGAAGGTGATTACACCGTGGGGCCCTGTGTTCATCAGGAGATTCATCCCCAGATAAGACTGTTACCAAGATATGATGTCAGCAGGTGGGGCCTGGCTGGAGGTGGGGTTCTGGGGACTTAACCTGACAATCTGTGTCCTTGTCCCCAAGTCCCCCAATCTCTCTTTGCCTCCTCACTACCGTGGATGAACAGCTCTCTTCTGCCACACCCTTCCATGCTGCCTTTCTGCCTCAGAGCCTGCCGACCTGTAACTGAAACCATGAGACAGAATAAACCTCTCTTCCTTTAAGTTGCAGGTACTCATTATTTTGTCTCAGCAATGAAGAAGGGACTAAGAGAGATTTTTGTAGCAAAGAATTGGTGTCTTTGTGGTCAGTGTACCTGACCATATGGTCTCAGAGCATTGGGAGCTGGTTTGTGGGAAGAATTTGGGACGAATTGCAGGTGCCAGATAGAGAGGCCCAAGCATGTGGAAACACAGAAATGGAGACCCAGGAAAGGAACCTAAAAGCCCAGGTGTCTAAGAATTTATTTCAGCAGGTGACTTAGTCATACCAGGAGCTGGGGCTGTGCCACGTTGAGGAGATCTGAAGGAGGACAGTTGTATTTCTGTAAGTTTGTTTCAGAGGGGGCAGTGACGAATTACTATATTTTGTATTTTAAATGTATTGAGGTTTTGATGGGATATATTGGAAACATCTGAAGACAGCACGAAAAGAATAAAGCTCTCCTAATTGCCATTTTGTTCTCATGTTTCTCCCTCATTCCCCTTCACTCTTTTGTCCCATCGATGGATCTGTGAACTCTACTCACCTGTTTTGCCTTTCATACTCTTTCCCCCCAGCCGTCCATGCTTCCACCCACCCATCCTTATAACCACTCTTTCAACCCCTCCAATAAAAACCTTTATTGCATATGCATGCTCAAAAATCAATACAAAGGGGAAATAATCTCACATTCATTTAAAATAGATACCAAATATTTCGTACAAATATACTCTCAACATTGTCAAAGATCTACACCCTGTGATTGATGAAGCTTTTAATTAGAAATAAGTATTCAACATTATTAGTGGAATTCTTAAATTTAAGCATTTAAAGAGAGAATAATGACTCAGAAGCCAAAAACTGGATATGCACACACAGTGCACTACCTTATTTATTATTGATTTGAGACAGATGCTTGTTCAGTCTCTAAGTACTCTGGATTGAGATCAAACTTGCAATCTCAGCCTCACTGTTCCAGAGCGCTGGGATCACATGCGTGTACCAGCATGCTGCAGTAACGGGAATCCATAGGTACATACACAGTAAAGAACATCTGGCAGGTAAAGCATTTCCTATCACAGTCTCTGAAAACCCTTTACATATCTGGGTATAAACGTGAGAAGAACATTTATTCAATAAACTATATATAACAAAACTATATATAATATAATGCAATTGCACATTATACATATATAGGTGTCCAGAAACGATGATGAGTAAGGATAAAAGCAAACATAAATCTGAGAGGGAAAGATGTTCTACTGAATATCTCCAAATTCTTGCACAAAGTATTCTATAAATTCAGTACAGTGGCATCATATAATCAACGGTGTACATCCTTGCATATGACCAGCCAATGCTAGAATCCTAAATGACATGTGAGACAGAATGTGTAAAAGTAGTTTACCTAATTGCAAAGGGAAATGCGAGGAGATAAATATACACACAACTACCAAGCTAGACTATAATTAACACATTGCACACAGCATCTTCCTTCAACAGAGAAGGGTACTGAATGGTACCATTCGTTACCATTCATTACCATTCAATGGTAATGAATTATATTAAAGTGTTCAGAAACACAGTGACATACAGGAAGGAATTTATTGTCTTTTTAAAATGAGATAAAATATGGGAAAGTCACAAAAGTGGATACCATAATTGTACAAACAATAGGATGAACTCTGACTAAATAGGCATCAAAATATCCAGAATAAAATCAACCGAAAGAGATGAGGACTACAGTTTCTAGTGAACACTATCCTACTAGAAAAAGAAGTTACATCACTTTGTAAGGGTGTAAGTCCTATAGTAGACTATAGTATCTGACTTCCCGTATTGTTCAGCTTTGACTTGAGGTCCTCTGTATATAATAGGAAACATAAGTTTAATGATAACAAGGCTCCTTTCTGACAGAATGTGTTTTGTCCCTGATCCCAGGGAGACAATTTCTGTCAGGATTTAACAAAATAATGTAGCACTTGGGAGCAAAGATGCAGCCCAGCACCCCCGCACTGGAGGCCAAGATGGAGAAGACCTCCATGGCCACCATGACCTTCCCCTTGGTGCTGTGGTACACGGGGAGGAAGGTGACCCACACACTGCAGAACACCAGCATGCTGAACGTCAGGAATTTGGCTTCATTGAACGTGTCGGGCAGGTTCCTGGCCAGGAAAGCCACGGTGAAGCTCGCCAGGGCCAGGGAGCCCAGGTATCCCAGCACACAGTAGAAGGCAGTGAGGGAGCCCTTGTTGCACACGATGATGATGTGGCCATGCTCAGAGTGAGCGTCTCTGTCAATGTAGGGTGGATTTGTCCCCATCCAGACTCCACAGAGAGTGAGTTGGATCAGGGAGCAGATGGGGATGATGGAGTTAGGAGCCCCTGATACCAGCAACTGCCTCATCCTTCTGCCTGGAGCAGTCACCTTAAAGGCCAGCACCACAGTAATGGTTTTGGCCAAGACAGAGGAAACAGCCACAGTGAACACGACTCCAAATGTGGTCTGCTGCAGGACGCAGGTGGCTGTGCTGGGCCGGCCAATGAAGAGCAAGGAGCAGAGGAAACAGCAGGTGAGGGAGATGAGCAGGGTGTAGCTGAGAGCCCGGTTGTTGGCCTTGACGATGGGAGTGTGTCGGTGCTTCACAAAGAGCCCAAGAACAGCAGCTGTGAGGACAGTGAGACTCAGGGCGGTGCCAGCCAGAGCTTTTCCCAAGGGGTCTTCATAAGCCAGAAAAGTCACAGCTTTTTTCAGGCAGTGGTTTCTCTGAGTGTTGGCATACTGATGATCTGGACACTTCACACACTGCTCCATATCTAGCAAAAATTAAAATTGTCACTTGCCTAGGTTTTATTCTTTATTATTCTATTATTTTTTTTTGTAAGCATCCTCAGAAACTCATTGGAATTCTTTAACTAAATGGGTTCTTTAAAATTTTTTTGTCCTTTCTCTTTGTTTTTCTTTATCTGGCAATGACCTCATAAACCTTGCTCTGAGATATTTTTCCAACCCTTTTAAGTTTTATATTTTGAGAAATGATCTCCTTAAGTCACTATGTTTTGTTGACTTAAAATCCTCTTGTCTCAGCCTTGCAAAGCCCTGCATTTCAGACATGCTTCATCACATCTCACTTTACCACTGCTCTCTAGACACAAAATAAAACAACAGTATAAAGACAATAACTCCTAAATAATAGTATCATTATTCATTCTCCTTCTAAATCTGACATATCCATAAAAGCATTCTATATTTGCAAAATAATGAAGGGTCAACCTTTATTACATAATTCACTTATTTGGTCCAAATAAAGTCATTATTAATGATTCCCCAGGTAGCCAATGTACTACCTCATAGTGAACATGATTTCCTAAGTCCAGGGAAATATATGAAAGAAGACATTGAATGTTAAGTAGTTCCATTCCTGAGCTTCTCCATCTATGAATATGCTTATGCATCCACTTATATAATTGTTATTGTCAAAGGGGTAATTAAATAGTTTAATTGTGGTAACTTCAAAACCATTGCAGGATATATTACTACATATTTAGTGATTTTAAATGTTGCAAAAATCAATTTTCAAAATTTTAAATATGAGTGTCTTATGACTGAGAAAACAGGATTTTTTTTTGTAATAGCCTTGTGCACCATTACCAGGAAATCCAGTATCATTTTGTACATTTATGTAGATTTTATATTTACAAGCTAGTATCACTGGAAAATGCTATCATTCATGTTTCTCCCTTTCTAATATATTTTTGCTTTTGTGTGTTTTCTTCGTTGCATTGACCATGATGTAAAGTGTAATGTCTGGCACAAGTATGATACAGAAAGTCTTTATTGTCTTCCTGCCTTCAAGAATGGATCACAAATTCCAAGGTGAGCTATAGGATATGATAATTCCATTTCTGAGGGGTAGTTAGACACTTTTCATCTACTCATTGGGTAGGAAATAACCTTGTTGTTTCTTTGTAAGTCAAACTGATGTACAATTTTACAATATTGTTTGCATTTTTAGCATTGGTTTTATTTTCCCAGGAGCTAGTGTACCTAATTATATTTTATAAAGTGAGTTTTTCTCAGTTTTTACCACTCCCTGAAGCACATACCTCAATTTGGAATAGCACATGTGAATTTAGTTTGAAAAGGAAAGTGGACTGTGAACTCCTTTTCCTCTAAGTGCATTTTCAGCTATGAGTAATACGATTTAGCTCCTGTGTTAAAATGAATTGATTTTCCTCTTTCCCTTTTCTCTGATACAATGAGGTCAATATTAATATGTCTTTGAGTGCTTATAAATTTCACTGCTAATATTATTAATCAACAAGTATTTGAAGGGAAACATTATACCGTAGATTCCCACCTGTTAATAGACATGGTACTGTAGAGATATAAGTACTATGGAGACTTTTTCTCTTTATTTAGGAATGGGTTGCTAACTTTTCCTGTGACTTTATAAACTTCAAGGCACAGATTGATGTGAAATTACTTATAATTTCCTATGAAATGTTTTCTATAGAACTGTACTAATGGCCAAATTTCTCAAGATACGCAAACTTTGATTTTTTCTTTTTCTAGTTGATCAATTGTACTAGGAGTTGTCATTTTTTTGTTACCAGAACGACATTTAATTCTGTTTATTTTTATGTGTCTTAATTTTCTAAAACTTTCTTTCAGACATCACATCTTTCATTTTCTTGTGTTCAACTTGCTAGACTTTTTTGTAGTGTGTGATAAAGGTTTCAAATGAATTTCAGCTTTTTATTTAAATATAGAAAAACACAAAAGCATGTGTAATGTAGAATGGACATTTGTCTCAGTATAGATTTAGCTTTAACACAAAGGATTTTTAGTCCCACTTGATTTTTAGTTTGTGCTTTGATCTATTCCACATAGCATATATGACTGAGTGTTATACATACTGGAAGCATGTATTAACTGATATTATTGGGTGCATTGTTCTCTATATGTGCACATATAACATTTTTTAAAAGTAGCATGTTCCTATAATTTGTGGAAATACATATTCAAAATAACTACATGCTACAGTACCTAATTAGTCTTGATGTACTGCAGAGAGCACTTGAAATCACATTAAATACGTTTTGAAAGAAAAATTTATATCAACCACAAAACCAAATTAAAAAATATTCAGTAGGAAGATTATTCCACCATGCCACGATTAGTAGAAAGCTAAATATTTCCAAAGTGGTACTTATGGTATGCAACAGTCCTGTACAGTAGATTTCTATGAAGTTTACAGAATATGTTTCAATCTTCATTCTCATTTTATCTACATTTTAACAATATGGTATTTTCCATCCTGGAATGTTTGAATATTCCATCAATGTTGAATATGTAATTTTTTCCATTTATACTAAAAGGATTTATGTCACCTCCTTTTATTGTGATATAATACTAATGCTAACATCTCTGTAAAAATGCCTATGACACCCTCTTCAAATGCAGATAAGATCACTTGTTAAATCCCTTATCCTTGCACTTCTGTGGTAGACTCCAATTTATGTCATTGTCTGTCTCCCACCCACCTATGCATTTTAGGAGAATGGAGATAAAATCCTAGGAACTGGACTGTGCTGTGCTATGAGCATGTTGTACAACAAAGACATCCCCTCACATCCAATCACATTCAATCTGTCTGAGCACTGCTTTGTGTGAAGGATACTGTCAGGCCCGGAAGATGAAGTGTGCCTGATCTTGTATTGACTGTAAACTGTCTGTGCTTCCAAAGGTTTGAAAGAGTTGGCTTTAATCCTACTCTGTGTTAAACTTCATGATGAGATGGAACTTAGAAGCCGTAGGGGAGGGGAAAGGGCTTTTCTTGAGAAAATACTGCTTTAAATGGGAATAGAAAAATAAATCAATGCAGTCTGGTGTGGCGGTGCCTATGTGTTATTCCAGATAATTGGTGTACAGAGATCGGTCCGTTGAATTTTTGAGGTACTCTAAGGCAAACTGGTGATATTCTGTCTCATAACAGCAAATAAGAATACCTGGGGACATAGATCATTGATAGAGCATATTCTAGTTTAATTTCTAGCAGTGGAAAAGACAAACAAAAAAGATGAAGAAGAATGAAATAAAAAGAAACTAAATTAGAGTGCATTTGAAAGGGGAAAATGTGTTTTCCAACCAAGCAACAGCACTCAGTACAACAAATAATTTGATAAGTGGAGGAAGATTTTTATCATTGGTGCTTTCTACAAGATTTTTTCCATTTCCTGGATGGATGGATGGAGTGAATATCAAATAAAGTGAGAATGCAAACACAGGACGCATTGGTGATTGCTCCTACCTGTGTCATTGGTGATTTCAGTGTCTGCACAAGGGATGCAATCAAAACAGCAGGCAGCCTTTCCCTCCTGAGGGCTTTTTCTAAATCCAGGATTGCAACTCTCACTGCATACCGAGCGGGGAGTCTAACGAAAATACATATAGTGGTAACATCTTGGACTTTTAGTTACTTCTTCAGAGTGAGAGAGATAAAATTAATTTGCATACATAAGCAAAGCTATATAATTGAATGCCAAATTAATTTCTGTATATGAAATATATTTATAAAAATATAATTAAATGCATTACATTCCCACTTATCAGAAAGGTTCTAAATCATGTCTTTAAATTGAAAACATTATTATTATTCAGTTTCCACGTATGACCACTACATGAGCAAAATTAGGGGCAGAGAAGCTAGGACACTGTTTAGGTCACTTGTGGTTAACTAACTGTGCAGTGAGAGGTCCAACATACCTCTGCAGTTCCTGTGGCCCACTCTATCATGTCCTCAGATAAAGTCATTTTTTGGCCATGTGGAGCATGTGAAGAAAATGTTCCTACTTTAGCCTTCAGTCTAAGGCCTTCTGGAAAATTCCAAAAATTGAGAACGTCATACTCTGAATCCAGTTTCCTTCTGTCATGCAAGTTCACTTGGTCTCCAGCAGGATTGTGAAACTGGATGTTCTTCAGAAAGCGATGAAGCTAAAAGAGACATATTGTGCTATGTGAACAGGGTTCCAGGGTAAGGACAGAAACTTTGGATGGGGGAAAAGTCCCTAAGTGCCTTTAATCTGCTTTACTGAAAGCAACGTTAACACTGGTATCTATTAAACTGGAGCACATGACTGCTTAGGGATTAAAATATCACCATGTTCAAGAAACGTCAATCAGTTTCAGATAAAGTATTCTCTGCCTGCTCATTAAAATAAAGGGTACAGTTTTAGGGTGAAACCATCAACTGTGGAGTCAAGGGTTCTAAAACCCACAACTTCCATTGTCTACTCCACTATTCACTTAGCATCTACCAACAAATGGGTTTATCAGTATCTGAAGAGTTTGCAAAATGACATGAAATTTAATTAAATGCACTTCTAGGTTTAACACCATTTAGTTTTGTAAATGACTACAGGTTTTCAAGTTGTCCTTTAAGAAAATCATGGAACATATTTACATGGATAAAGCGTTGACATCCTATATACAGAAGCAAGGAGCTGGGCTCCTGTTTCCTTCTCCTGCCAGTGGCTCCTTGATTGAGGATCATTTCAACTCAGCTGAAGAATTACCTCAACAGTAAGTGTCATACACAATGTCTCGTGTTTTGTAGAAATGATTTCAATATTCTTGCGTGAAACACATGGAATAACTTGAGAGGGGCACCATTATGAACGTGCACATCATCCAAGAGAATACATGTTACCTGCCAGGGGTGAAACATCCTCACTTGTCCATTTCTCCTTGGTGGCCTTTGTACTTCTTCCAAAAGCATCGCATGGAGGGCATGGGCCACAGCGTACACAGCATTGTATATATTGTAGCTCCTATCACTCATGGCTGTGTCAAAACGATTTGGAGGCAACCAAGCCACAGAGGCATTAGGTGTGCAGTTCTTCAAGGCACAGTCGGAATCAGAGAACGAGCAATGGAAATTCTTGGACCAATACATAAAAAGATAAGTGTCTTTTGGATATTTGTAAGGGCTAGCTTCCTGGACAAAATTTTTGAAACCTGAGATCTCTTTGTGGTGATGTGAAAAAACAAGCATCCCATGGAATGGGTCAAGTATGAAATCTCTCCCAGACAGGTCAGCCTGCCATCGTGAGTTGGTCACCCAGACTTTCCACGTAATTAAGTCTTGCACTATGTTGTAGTTTACATCATATGTACTATCAGTATCATAGTAAATAACCACCACATTGACTGATGCAGTATCAGCAGTCAGGACATCATTCTTCTTTGTAAATGAGACATAGGACACAGCCACACTTGAGATCATTTTCACAAAGGCTACACACACTCTGTTCCAGTCCATCTCGGCTCTTATATCGGAGAGAAACTGAAGACCTTTCTGGCCTTCTGCGATGAGCAGGCCCACCCAGGTCCAGTGGAAATGAAGCATCAAGGACACCATGCCAAGGGCTAAACATGTGTCCTTTGGGGCCACCTGATGGAGAGAAGGATACTGGCCACTGTCAGTCAGTGTAGGATCAAATGAGCCAAAGGTAACCTTAAAGGAAAAGAAAATTTGATGATACCCTGAAGTGTTGATGGAAAGCACAGTAGTAGCCCTGAAGTGTGCTGAGGAACACCTACAATTCATAGGAGACACGTGTTCTTTCCAGCCTTCTAAACATCACCCTCAGATTTTTTTAACAAGTGAATTAGTGTACTCAAATATCCCAGAAACGCTTCTTTCCTTCTTTCCTCTTCTTTGATCAAAAAGAATGAAGGGAAAAGAAATTGTCTATAACCAATGAATTTTCTGTGTACAGAGGCTCTGGTGCCTTATACTCTTTGAAAGATGCATATCTCAGGCTCACTTTTAACCCTTTTTGCTCCTGGTAGTTGAAGCCCCATGGATGCGCTTCCACCATTTCCTGTCCCACCAATCCTCACCTGTGGAAATCTGTAGAGTTCCAGCAGTGGTCCGATCTGACCCGAGGTGCCCCTTGACATTTCTGTCAGAACTGCTGCACACTTGCTTTGTCTCCCACACATGTAATTAGGGATTTCGTGTTGTCCTGTGAGCAAAATGAAGGAATTTTCTAGCATCATCCAATGACTGCTAATGGAATTATGGAACTCATAGCCCAGAGAAATGTTGGGTAAAAGATGAGGATTCCTGTTGATCTCTTCTATGGCAAAAGCGAAAGCCAGGTATTTCTGGTAGTTGCTGGTCGTAAGCCTGAAGAGAAAGTACCGAGGTCCTTAGGAAAAAGATTCAATGATTACGTTCCAGTGCCGTCCAGTACCATTTATGAACTGAATGCTTGTGTTCCTTCCACACACTCATATAATTACAACCTAAGTATGGATATGATGATATGAAAAGACTGACTTTTTACACCATCTTTGGAATTAAATGAATGATGGATATACATTTGTCATGGAAGAGCTCAGTACCCTGACAAGATTCCTGGAAGAGCTGCTTCATCATTCTTTCATACTTGTTATATACTTAACATCACCGTGCTGTATATATTCAGAATAAAATTTGTGTACATAACTATACTGTGTACATCTTTAGAAAATATGATCTTTTCAAATATCCTCAGGGTTTGCTAGGAGAAAAATAATATATTTAGTGAAGTACATATACTCTTCAATAGTAACAAGTATCCACTTCTGTTGAAATGCTTTATTTCAGGAAAAAGATATTTCCTTAATATTAGTAGTTAAATGTATCTCAAACAAAATTGCTATCCACACTCATGCATGTGAAGAAATACTGGGATAATGGACACATTAATCCACTTGATTTAGCTATTAGGTAATATAAATATATAGTAGCACATACCACTGCATCTATGAATATATTTAATTGTATTTGACAACTAAAGATAAAATTAAAGATAAAACTGAAATTCTTTCAAGTCAAAACGTAGATTTTGCTTAAAGAATAAAGCAGTTAGTCACAATGAAGATGGGTGAACATCAGTAATACAAGTTCACCCACCTTGCAGGGATGATGGGACAGACAATTGCTTCACCCTTCCCCTCCTGAGAGAATTGTGTTAAGAACACTGAACAGAGTATTGACAAAGTGCAATCTCCTTTGAATGTTGTTGAATTAAGCTTCTTAAAGAAGCTGTATCATTCCTCTGAGTTTAAATTAAGTCTTTCTGGTTTTACACTAGTGAGACAATGCGATGCTTGCACATGCAGGTCTGATTGCTTTCACTTATGAGTATGGTCTGTATGTGACCATTTACCTATAAAGGCCTCCAGTTTATCTCTCTTTATAGCTGAGTAATATTTATTATATAAAAGTATCACAACTGTCTTATCCAATCCTCGGTGAATGGACATTTGGTTTGCTTCCACAATTTAGCAATTACAAATTGTGCTGCTATGAGCATAGCTGCACATATATCGCTGTGATATGATGTTTTTAGATCTTCTGGGAAAATACCCAGCAGGGGAATAGCTGAGTTGAGTGGGACCTAGTTGGCTGAGGAATCTCCAACCTGATTTCCACAGTGGTTTCACCAATCTGCATTCCCACCAGCAATGGAGAAGGGTTCCTACTTATCCACAGCCTCATCAGCATTTGTTATTGGTTGATTTCTTAATGGTAGCCATTTTTAATGGGGTAAGGTAGAATCTCAGTGTTGTTTTAATTTGCATTTCTCAAATGACTAATAATGTTGAACATTTTCTCATGTATTTATTTGCCATTTGTATTTCCTTATCTGAGAAGTGTGTATTCATCCCAGCTGCCAGTTGTGGAATGACAGGAAAATGTTCAAGGGTAAAGGGCAGCTGGGATGTGGGAAAGGAGAAGGGAAAGAAGAAATTTTCTATGTATGCCTGTACAGGATAGTTCACATAGTTGTTCTACTGTCTTCTATTTCTTTGCTGAAAGAAATTGTTAATGATTGATCCATATTGATCAATATCTTGATTGATCAATATTGCATGTCTCTATCTGTTTTCATGAGAAACCACTTTGAAGATATCAATATTTAATACAACAAGCGTTGTTAATTTCTTGCCTCATTGTTTGTAACTCTATAATGTCTGTACTGATCTTTTGCTATTTTGTAAAAGGTTGGCTGTCCGATAATCTTGTTCTCCTCTTATTTTGAAAAACAAAAATAAGAAGCGGTATATCAGGAGTAATTTCACTGAAAACGTTGTTAAAACAAGATTTCTTTGTTAGCATCAGAATTATTTACTTTTGCACTGGAGTTTCTAAGTCATAGAATAAATATCCAGCAAGTTAGGAGAGAAAAATCAAATGAAAGAGACAAGCAGGCATGAATATCCCTTTAGGAATAAGACTATTCACCTAAAAATAAAATGAAATTCTGGTGCAGGCCCCAAACAAACCTAAGTAAATGAGAATAAAAAAGATTTCCAAATAAAACTGGTAAGTGAAAGTACTTTGAGAAAAACATATATACAATAGCAACAATCTTAACAGAACTTACTCTAAGGTATTTTAGAAGCCTAAAATTCTAGTAGAGATAAAATCACTAAATATATTTTATACATATTAATATAAAAAATTCTATCAATTTTGCCACTGCTCAGAAACACTGAAAGAAGAGAGAAGTTTTATGTCAAAGACAAATATTACAGAAGTGCTCTGAAATCTGTGAAATCTATGAAAGTAGTGAAAGTGTTTCAGAACGTAAAAGGAACGTGCTATTCAGAGAAAAAGCAACTAACAGATTCATCATTGGGACAGATTAAACAAAGGTAATTTATCTGTCTCTATCTGCCTATCTATCTGTCTACCTGCCTGTCTAATCTAATCAGGCTGAGTATCATCTATCCTTTTATTACAAGATTTGCATGCGAATTCCATCAATATTTAACTGTGTTATTCATAGTGGAAGGTAAGCTATTGTACAAACTAAAATTAAGTGAGTGCACACATTTATAACAAAATAAATTCCAGAGATACTAAATAAATTTTGAGAATATTAAAATAATAAATTTAACACAAAAGTATTTTCAACATTATACACTGAGATGCATTGCAAATAGGCAAAAGTAAAATGCAAATGATGGGAATGTTTTACCAACTTAGATGCTCATAATTATCTCTGCTTAAGCATGATTTATGTGAAAATATTTACAACAAACTTAGAGCCTATTAAATCATTTTTAAAATATTGGTCAACAATGTTATCAGTTCCTTAATATAGAAAATATTCTTTTACAAATTAGAAGACCTTTCCTAAGATTAAACAATGATGAAGAATGTCATCTAATACAGTTTGCATTATCTGAAGATAATGCATACAAGATGATGAATCCAAAAGTTAATAAAGGATATGCCCATATAGCAACATGATACCATTTGTTTACCTTCATCTTAGGCCAGTTGGCCCATGTAAAGGTTAAGGAAATCTTACTTCCCTGAGTGCTTGTTTGAAAATGCCCATTGTTTTGTTGCAGTACATAGTTTCATGATATGCATGTGAAAATTTAAAGAACATATAACTTTGAGCAGTGCCCTTGACTCTTCAACATTCTTTACCTTTAGTCAGGAGCATTCCTCTAAGTACCACACACCTATTGCCCTCCTTAAGTGACAGGCCAAATTAATTAGACAATTTGGAACACCCCCAAATGGTTGAGAATTAAATTATGATGGATAAATAATGTAAATTATGCAGGCATAATAAATAGAACTTATTTTTCAAAAGTTCTTTCCTGTTTCCTTCTTATTTAGCAGGAATGACAATTCTCTTCTGATCCCAAAAGACTTGTTCCTGGAGGATACATCAGCCTGGGCATAGTACCTGGGAATTGCAAGTGTGTTCTTTTCAGCCCCAGGCAGAGCTCTCGGAGCAGGGCTCTAGAGCAAGCACAACTGCAAAAGCAGCCTGATCCTCTGAGCATATGTGGGGACAGCAGAGGACAGTAGAGGAGTAGGTATCTCATCCTCTCCACCTAGGAATAGAAATAGATCCTACATTGTTGAACTGTGCTTGGAATCTGATAATGCTTGATCCCTGATTATTTTCACATTACCTGCTATACTCAGGTGATGTCTGATCGCACTGGGCTGTCTTCAGAACCCTCTCAAGGGATTTAGCCAGCCGCCCTCACTATCCTCCCTCCATGGTCCTCGTTAGCTGTAGGCACACACGAGCCCATCCACCATTCCAAATATAGTTCCGAAAATCACACTGCAGTGCATTCTGTACTGAGTGTTATTTCCCGATGAAATAAAGTCCTTATAATGATCAAACTGTGACATGAATAATTAGTCCTGTCACAGGGTTTAGGAGATTTCAAGCAGAGTTCTCTATGTCATATACTCAAAAATACTTCTGATCTGTCACAAACAAGAAACACTCAGTAGCTGGTCCCAGAATAAAGCACTGTGTATTAAGCACATCTGTAACAACACACGTTTTAGAAAATGATAGGAAAAACAAGGCACATTAAGGGCGTACTGACTTGACTCTATCACCAAGTTAAAAATAACAAAACAATGTTTAATAAACTGTTAGTGGACACACTCATGATTACACAGAAGAAAGACAAAGCGCAGAGATAGTTACATCACCAGGTCGGAAGAGCTTCCACACCTAGAATGCCAATTCCAGTGGTGAGTGGTCCCTTCAGAGGGTTTTCAGGGTTCTGCTTAGGAAGGATCTCGGCAGAGTGCCCTCGCTACTCATGTGATCCCAAAGTCCTACCAGTGAGGCCCCTTAAATACCAGTTAACACAAAATTGGGAGCATCCAAACTTCATGCATGACCAGAGGCAAAGAGTCTGTAGCCCCCACAAACTGGGCCAAATACCTGAGGGATCAAACATCTGCATCTGCTAGACAGGTGAGAAAGAAACTCCTTGGGATCTGGCCAGGACAACAGTGAGTTTCTACTCATATTACGTTGTCTGCCAAGCATCCTAATGTGCAGTCTTTAGAACAAGGCTGTTGGAGTGTGTGGTGACCAAGGAAGCTCTTTCTGCTTATAATTTTAACCCTTTATATGCCCAGCTGTTACAGGAGCACTTTGGGTCAGCATCTTCTAAAAGATTCCATCAATCACTGTTCCATTACCATTTCCTTTTCTCAGAAAAGCACACAACATTTGCTTGAATTCTCAGACACTTTGGAAAATTCACTACTTAATTATGTGTCTGGTGTGAGACCTGATAAGATAGCATCTGAATAGTGGAAAGATACACGTATCTAACTGAGCAAGAAACACACTGGTGGGGGACAGTCTCACAGAGGATTTTCCCCTGATTCTGGGCTCAGCTTGCAGTGGTAGGAGTCCTGGAACACACTAAAATGTATTTGAAATAGTAACTGAATGCTTACAGGGACAAGTTTCTCCAGCCAAAGCGGTAGAATTACAAGAAAACAATCGGTAAGAATGTAAGTGAGTTTATAGTTAGAGAACTAGAGAAACAGCAAACCCTTCACTTTATTTGGGAATATTTGGCAATAGGCTCTTAGCATTCAATTAATCCAAGGCGTTCAATTGAGATTAAGAACATCACTGAATGCCATGCAGGAAGGTCATGGACCACGGAATAATGTGGAGCATGGGGTCCCTCTCAGGTTTCAAGACTTGGAATGAGAAGCTCAAAGCACAAATACACAAAAAGAATATCCTCTTCCCATATTCCCAACTATAAAAAGAGGTAAAACTTATCGGCAGGCCTGTTGTGCACATGTGAGGGGCAGAACAGGTGGCACTGTAGAGAATATCAGTGCAATATGGATCCATAACCATTATCTATCCTATGTCCAGAAAGAAAACCAATGAATGAAGAAGACACTTACGGAACGTAAAAGAATTCTCTAGTAGGCTTTATCTCAAAGATACCAGTATAGTACACATAGACATAAAGAGAGAAAAAGCCCCCAATCACCACGTCTCCATCCTTGCGCACACTGGTGCTCCTTTGGCGAAGGCAGGCTTCATTATCTAAAGTACACACTAAGGCAGGAAGCTGCAGGAGAAGGAAGATAAAAATTGAAAGGAACATCTTATATGCATATGCAAAGATTTACGGTGAGTAAAGAGGAGAATTGCATTGACCGCCAAGTAAATAAATATGTGTGTATGATTCAGACTTACGTCGCTTCTGACTCAAGTGGACACTTTGAGGCCTTGGCCTCTGTCAGCAGTGCCTGCTCCATGTCCCTGGAGAAATTTGCCACCACAGGCCCCTGGGCTCTACACTTGAGGTTTACTGTCATGGAGAAAAGCACAAGACAAAAATTATGCTTGCATATTTTTTCTCAGCCCCAAGCTGCCATGATTTAATCCAGTTCCACTGATGACAACATCCCAGGTGTCGCCTCCTCCTGGGCAGATTTGCTCCTAAGTTTTTTTCAATAAGCCATTGTTGTAGATGCGATTAGAGGTGTTGCTAAATGCATTGCCCTAGAGGATTTAATGTTAGGGTTATCTTGAAACAGTCTCAAAATCCTCAAGGTCAGCCAAAAATTATTGGACATTGTGCCTTCCAAGGTGGGAGATTGGGAGCTATCACCTGACAGGCGCAGGGTCGAGAGTTGGAGCCACAGAACTCACCCTGCAAAGCCATGTTCTCTGCAAAACAGGCCTATGTGCTGAAACTCAAAGCCACACATTCTCTCCATTGCTTGGGGTACAAATAATTGCACTACAGCCAGGAAACTAAAAGTAGTAACGGAACATCATGCACAAATACAAAGCCCTTTTCGAGTTGTATAATTTATCCTACCTCCCTGCTGTTTCCTGCTTTCAAGTATCTTCATTCCATGATTCAATATATTGTCAGAATCCATTTCAACTCCTACAGAATTGATTTCCTCCAGGGCTTAAGCTTTGGTGAGAACATGAGTCTTTGTGGTAAATTTCTCTTTTTCCCTCACCCTGAAGCAGACAAGCAAAGCTGAAAATGACTTCCTATTTCCCATCATCCAAATTTTTGAGGAGCAAGAAAATGCAGGAAACATTTACAGCCCCTATATTCAGTGGAAATTTCAGGGCACGTAGATTGTTCTGAATGACACTGTATTAGTTCAATGTATAGCATCTTGTATTTGTCAGTATCTAAATCACCAGGACAAAGTGTGAGCCTCATTGTGCACTTAGACTTCTCTTATTGTATAGGTGTCAATATTGCCTTATAAACTCTGCCAGGATAGCAATAGATGACCCGTTAAAGATAAAACAAAACACTGATTTCTGTAAGGATAAACCTTAAAAATTAAAGCATATAAAATGTGATAAAATATTTATTGTCCTCTTTGGAGGGTGTTGAACTCATGTTCTCATTAGCATTTGAAAAGTAGCTAGTCAAAATGAACTTGGGATGTAAGTACAAAATCTTCACAGAGTTTCAAAAAGTCAAAAGATAATGAATTTTTAATGTTTATAATAACTATATAGCAAGATAACATATTGAATCTATTCAGTATATATTGGGTTTAGTACACTGTATAAAGATATTCTTAAATAAAAAGCTTTTGTGTCCCTTAACCTATATATTGCAAGTTGTACCAAGTAAAAACACAAACTTATTTGAGAATCTCGCTGAGTCCTCTACATAAAAATATGACTTGGCAAACTCAAGCCTTCTTCTCTGATTTTGGTCGGACTATTATCTGGATGGAACTGTGCTTCAAGTGTAACGATGAGTTCTGAAGTCTGTTTCTTTTGGATGTGACCTAACACAAAAATAGTTTGTCTTTAGAAATTAAGAGAAAGTCTTTAGGGCAGACCCTGATCCAATGTGTGTGTGTCTTTCTAACAGGAAGACCACAGAAGACTTTGGCCCATAATAACTTTTTAAATGGCTGAGGAATAGTTAACTGAAGATTACATGTTGAACATGCACAAGACCTTGTGCTCAATCTCTTATCCCACAAAAAAATACATTGAATTCATAAATTCTTAAGTACACTAATGTATATATTGACGCCAATCCAGGAAATCACTCAGTCAATGAGTAATTTGAATAATTTCTCCAATATGTTAAGATGTGTAACACAACAGGAGAGGATGTTTGGTCAGAAATACCCTTCTGCACTCCCTGGAACATCATCTGGAAGAAAGCCTTGCAGAGTACCCTCCTTTGTCAACACCACTGAAGACAGTGGCTATTTCCTGCCCACCCCAGACTCCCAAGTTGCATGGAAGATGGGCTGGGACCCCTTCTGCTGCATCTTGAGGAGACAGAGCTCTTGTCCTTGGTGGATCAGCTGTGCCTTCACTAGGCAGAGCACTCCTCTGTGCCCCTATGTAGTTCACATGCACGTCCCCTGCTGCCTGTGAGGATGTGAATCAGGATAAGAAGAGTTCAGGTATAGGCAGAGGCTATACACATTCGTTGCTGGCTGTCTACATGGATTGATGAGTTTAGTGTTGAGATTATTTTATGTCATAAGTAAGGAAATTCATGTAGAAATTCTGCCTATTTTCCAGTGCAGTGATGGAGAATAATGGTGACAACCAGAAGCCAAGTTGCACAGTCACTGTGTGCACTAAGTTGTTATCCTATTTACCAGCAATGAATGGCTGGGGTCTGAAATAATAATGATGCCTTGAATAATACAAAAAAAGGAAGTAAGTATAGCAGGAAAACATGGAAAGAAGACAAGCTCCAGAAAATACATATAAAATTTGGTGTGGTAAACTATGAAAATTGTTATGATAAAGGATACCAAATGTACATCAATATAGTTTCTTTCCTATTAACAACCAGGAGGTATAGTGTCATTAAGACTTTCAGTCGTTAAAACCAGATTAGCAGATACAGTGTCATACCACTAAAATATCAGCAAGCTATTCTAAACAGAATGATGAAATTTTTCCCAGATACAAGTAACCTAGGCAGTCATAAGGAATATTGAAAATGAAGAATTCACACTTCTTGATTCCAAGATTTTTATTATGAAAGGATAGTCATGTGCTTAAATGGATCAGCACATGTAGAACCAGCCCCGGGATCTATACTACCACACCTGGGCAGCCATCAACCCTAAGTGTTCAAGTCTGCTCTGACAACTTTCTTCCTGTTTCCTCTGCTTGTAATTCAGGAATAATTGAAGGGGAATCACATATGCACCACATGATCAACCACATGTGACACTCCACGATAGTGCATCTGCCTTAAGTTTTCACAAGGACACCAACAAGCTCTCATCAAGGCTTTCCTTCCCCTTTGCACCATGAAGCTGCACACATCATTCTCCTGCCTTTCCTTCTTTCCCAATAGTAGGCCAGCTGAGGGTAGCACTGAGCCATGCGTGTTGTACATGAGCAATGAATATGTCATCCTTGATCTCATTCTGAGAACTTTATCTCCACAGGAGTCTCTAGGTCAGGAAAATTGAAATATTAAAGATAGGCCTTATGACCCCATGATAAAAGACTCATCTCTGCCATTTTCTTTCTCTGTCTCTGTCTCACTATACTAAGGTTTGAATTAACTTTATTGGTACATTTTATGTATACAAACTGACCACACTCATTAGAGGAAGTTTGCACCTGTGCATGATATTTCTTGTTTTTCTTTGTTCCCTGAACTGCCTTGCACCTTTCAAACTCTCTGCTCTTCCTTATTTACAAAACTTTTCTTTACATTTTCTTTCCTCTTTTTTTTCCTTTCTTCCTTTCCTCCTCTCATATTCCTTTTCCTCTTTCCACTGAAATATTTACTTCTGGTCTCTGGAAGCCTTGTTGAGCTGCCACAGCTCTTCAGTCCTCCAACTCTGCCCCGCTGTTGCTACATTGGGAGGTGCCTTGGTGGGGAAAAGTGACTAGGTGAGCTACCTGGGAGCCAAGATCCTCTGGCACCAACCCTGCCACCAGCACAGGAGGGACCTTGGCTTTAGGAAACCTGGGTGAGCCATCTGGTTTCCCAGGTCCTCTGGCTCTACCATCCAACACCATCTCAGAAACAAACCTGATTTCCCTGAAACCTAGAAAGATTGAAAAATAACAAAAAGCAGAAGCAAAATGCAATCTCAGCCAAACACACCAAACAGAATAATTCCAGGAAACTTCAACATGCAAGAACATGGAAGTCACACACCTGAAATTTCCCAGATAATAGCAACTGAAGTGAAGAACCAACTATATCAGGGTATAGAGGAAAGCAGGTCAGAAAGAATTGTTCAGGTAAAAAAAAAAAAGGACAACTATAATGAAAGAATCGCTGGGCATATGAGAAGAAGACATAGATAAAATAAACAGAGGAGCACAGAAAAATGATGGCAACCTTGAACAAACAGTATAAGAAAGAATTAGCATGCATGAAACAGATTCAAAGAGACATTCAGGAAATTAAGAATTTCTTTGAAAGCTGAACTTACCACTTGACTGAAATGGAAGATAGACTCTTAGACCTTGAAGACAGTCTTGCAGCTAGTGATTGTGAAAGAAAAGATCTGTTTAAAATAATGAAGGAACAGCACATAATAATTCAACAGCTGCAAGATGAGGCCAGGAAAAACAATATAAGGCTGATAAATGTCATTGAAAGTGCAGGAGACAACATGAATGACAGAAACAGACTATTACAGCAGTAATAGCAAAAATTTCACAAGCATGGGACAGGAACCTTATATACACATAAGTGGGGCATATAGAACCCCAATTATCCATAACCAAAATAAATCTACAGCCAGACACATAATAATCAAGATCCCAGAAATTGAGCAAAAGAACAGGGTATTAAAACCTGTTGGACAAAGGAAACAGATCATCTATGAAGGAAAGCCCATCAGAATCATGGCAACATTCTCAACACAGACCATCAAGTCAAGAAGAGCTTGGGGTGAAGTACTCAGATCCTGAAAGGAAAGAACTTCCAACCAACATTGCTGTACTATGCAAAGTTTTCTTTCAAAATTGATGGAGAAATAAGATATTTCCATGACAAAGATCAGCTGAAGAAATTAATGAGCGCCAAACCAATCTTACAAAGAGTACAGAAAGATAGTATATAAAGAGATAAAAAAGACCACAATCTCAAGACCAACAATAGAAAAGAACTACTAAGCAAGGTAAGCAGTTAAACAGAGGTGGAAAGTACACATCCAACAGTGGGAAAATAACATGAAGAGGAAAAGTCAATACACATCATTAATAACTATTAATGTCAATTGTCACAATTCAGCAATCAAAAGAAACAGACTGGCAGAGTGAATCACGAAACAAAATCCAATAATATGTTGCATAAAATAAACACATTTAACTGAAAAGGAAATCCATAGAGTAAAAGTCAAAGGATGGAAACAATACTCCATACGATAAGAACCCAGAAGAAAGCAGGAGCAGCTATTCTGTTTGCAGACAAGGTGAACTTCAAACCAACAGTGATCAAAAGAGATAAAAAAGATCACTATATTCTTGTTCAGGGAAAACTGCAAGGGGAAGAGATAACAACTATAAATATATATTCACCAAATGTAGGACCACATAAATATATAAGGCAAATCTAACAGATGTAAAAACTCAATAAGTAATAACACAATTGTAGCAGGATTTTAACACCTCGTTGTCCCGAAGAGATAGACCAACCAGACAAAAAACCAGCAAAGAAATAACAGAATTAAACCAAACATGTGAACTAATGGACTGAGTAGACCTTTACAGAGTGTTCCACCTAACATTAGAGTACTCATTCTTCACAGCTGCACATGGGGCATTCTCTAAAATACACCCCATGCTTGCACACATAACATGCTTAAGTAAATGCAAATGCATTGAAATTATCCCATGCATATTATCAGATGATAGTGCAATGAAACTGGAACTAAATATTAAAAGAAATTGCAAAAACTCCATAAACACATGGAAATTAAATAACACCCTCCTGAACAACAAATGGGTCACAGAAGAAATTTAAGTAGAAATTAAACACTATCTACAATGAAATAAAAATGCAGATACAAATTACCAGAACCCATGGGTTGCAATGAAAGCAGTCCTCATAGTGAAATGCATAACAGTGCATTCCCACATTAGGAAAACACAATGAACACAAATAAGTAAACTTATGTTACACATCAAACCTCTAGACAAGTAACAGCAAGTTAATCCCAAATTGTGCTGCTATGAACATAGGTTCACATATATCACGGTGATACGATGTTTTTAGATGTTCATGGAAAGGACCCAGAAGAGGAATAGCTGAGTTGAATGGGACCTCTAGACGTCGTTTTCTGAGGAATCTCCACTGATTTCCACAGTGGTTTCACCAGTCTGCATTCCCACCAGCAGTGGAGAAGGGTTCCTATTTATCCACAGCCTCAACAGCATTTGTTATTAGTTGATTTCTTAATGCTAGCCACTCTTACTTGGGCACGGTGGAATCTCAGTGTTGTTTTAATTTGCATTTCTCAAATGACTAATGGTGTGGCACATTTTCTATAATGTGTTTATTTGCCATTTGTATTTCCTTATCTCAGAAGTGTGTATTCATCTCAGCTGTCCATTTTTGCATTGGATCTTTGAATTTGGGAAGGTTGATATTTTTTAATTCTTTATATGTTCTAGATAGAAGCCCTTTGTCTGAGGGACAATCCGCTAAAATTTGTTCCAAGTTTGTGGGTTTTCTTTTTACTCTGATGGTGATTTCTTCAGATGTGCAGAAACTTTTCAATAAGATGAGATCCCAGTTGTTGATTCTTTCAAGTGCTTCACATGCATTTTGATTTTTGTTCATGAACTCTCTGCCTACCCCTATGTCTTCAAGGTTTTTACCTACTTTCTCTTCCAATAGATTTAGTGTTTCTGTTTTAATATTGAGATCTGTGAACCACCTCAACTTGAGTTTGGTGCATGGTGATAGACTTGGGTCTATTTTTAGTCCTTGGCAGGTCGCAAGCCAATTTTTCCAGCACTATTTATTAAAGAGGCTATCGTTCTTCCAGTGAGTTTGTTTGGCCCCTTTATCAAAGATTAGGTGGCTGAGTGTGCTTTTGTTGTGGCTTTTTCTTCCAGTCTGTTCCTTTGATCCTCAGATCTGTTTTTTAGCCAGTACCAGGTGGATTTTACGACAGTATCTTTGTAGTATAACTTCAAGACAGGGATTGTTTTTCCACCTGAACTCTTCTTCTTGTTCACGGTTGCTTTTGCTATTCTGGATCTCTGCTGGTTCCAGGTGAATTGAAGCCATGTTTTCTCGAGACCTGTGTTGTGGCTAATGACAGTTTAATGGGAATTGCATTGAATCTGTTCAGTACTTTTGGGAGTATGTTCATTTTCACAATATTGGTTCTTCATACCAATGAGCAAGGAATACTCTTCTTTTTAATGAACATTTCTTCAATCTCTTTTGCAGAGTACTGTAGTTTTATTGAATAGGTCTTTTACTTCTTTTATTAGATTGATTCCTAAATATTTCAATTTCTTGGATGTTTTTGGGAAAGGTACGGTTTCCTTAACTTCTCTCTCAGTCTGTTTGTTGTTTGTGTATAGGAATGCTATCAATTTCGGGGTGTTGAATTTGTATCCTGCTACCCTGCTGAATTTGTTGATAAATTCAAGGAGTCTGCTTGTGGAGTTTTGGGGGTCGTCCATACAAAGTATCATGTCATCTGCAAATAGTGATAGTTTTACTTCTTCTGTTCCTATCCTTATTCTTTTGTTTCTCTCTCTTGTCTTATTGCTCTGGCTAGTGGTTCCAGAACTATATTGAACAGGAGTGGTGACAGCGGACACCCTTGTCTTGTTCCCAATTTTAAAGTAAAACCTTTCAGTTTTTGTCCATTGAGAATGATGCTAGCTGTTGGATTATATAGATGGCTTTGATCAGGTTGAGGCAGAGGCCATCTATTCCTATTTTCTG